CGAAGTCAAAATTGTTACTATCACTAATCTTAGGTAAATAGATTTAATTTAAATTGTACGAATTAATGACATTTTAAAATAAAATTTTAATCAGTACATTCTACTATTAGTTTTTCAAATCGCCAGCATTGTATTACAAAAATTACTAATTATGAATTATATTTAAATCTAGGCAAGGCAGCATTATTGCTGACTGTATCGTTACAGTCTTAAAGAATTACACTCAAGGAACAAACTTGCTGAAGGATATTATCCACACAGGATCTGTTAGCAACTATGTAGTACAGAGTATTAATGTCACCGGTAAGTTAAGAAAGCACAGCTACTTTCAGCATATAAGTCTGAAAACAATATTCATTCTAACTCATACAGTAGATAATGATGCAGAACCCGAGTGTTCAATATAATTAGAATTAAAATCTTGTTAAATGTAGATAATTTAATTTTCGGAGCAGATTTATTGCAATTTTGCTATTTATCTTAAAAAATAAGTCAAATACTTTGCGTTACAGTATTGGTTATATCATGATAAAATCTACTATCTCATTTTTATTTTCAGATTATAACGAATGCAATAACCCTCAAGATTACTCGTGCATTGGAAATCAGCGATGTGTCAATACAATGGGCTCTTATACTTGCAACTGCTCAGCCGGATATCAATTTAATCCAACACTTCAACGATGTATTGGTAAGCAATAATTAATAATTGCATTTTTCTTTTCTCCAGTCTCTTTCCTAGCTGTAAAGAGCAGATAAACTAGCTAGCATCAACGATGCATTGAATATTTTTTAGCATAACAGTTTACTTCTTATTCTGCACCGCAATTCAACAAATACTACTGTATATCTAGTAATTGTAACAAATTTTTGATATATGCATGTATGCGAGTATACGGTCTTGTTTTATCTGCATATGATACCGATACTAAATTGAGGTAATAGTATTTCATATATAGTTCAATATTTGACACGATGTACCTTTCATAATTACAGATATTAACGAATGCCAGAAATCGGTATCTCCATGCCATCAGAATTCAAATTGCATCAATACTGCTGGCTCATATCAATGTCAATGCAAGAATGGATATATTGGTGATGGAAAGTTAAATTGCACTTGTAAGAATAACATACAGTAATTACAGTTCTTTCATACGAGAAATTTTGTTTGATTTTGATATAATTATAATTGAAGGAGATAAACACGGATTCTTGTTTAGTAGAGCTAACGGTTAAATGCATGATATTTTGATTTAGTGGTTTGTACATCAAATTACTGTTCTGGCCAAGGAATATGCTATGTTGTCAATAACGCACCTAGATGCAAGTAAGTTTATACGATCAACTTATAGTTATTGGCAGTATATGTATATAAAAATCGATCATTCCAAGCTAATTTACTTTATTACTGCTAATTAAGAGTAATCATGATCCGTTTTATTATATATAATCAAAGAATTAAACTTAAGACCTGCTTGCTTATGATATTTAAGTTGTACGACTCCAGGAGCAAGTGGAGATAGATGCGTACGAGGCAGCGTTTCACTATCATGTAAGTCAATAGCTTCGCTAGAGTTATTAGAAACTGCAGTGAATAATTCTCTTCAGTCTTTCACGTCGTTATAATCATAATCATAAATATGGTCGTGATAGTACCTTAGATTCCAAGCAGACTCTATAGTGATTTTAGCTAATTACGATAAGGTGATTTTAAAGTGTTATGGGAATATAAAGCAGCACTTAACGCAATTAAAATCCGTTATCACAAACTCATTCTTCACATTCTAGCTGGTACAGTTGTTGGCATCTCTCTAGGATCAATTATAGGTATCCTACTTATCATTGGGTTTATATTCTTATTGTATCGCCATAACAAAGCAAAGACGTAAGTGGATACGAAGTGTGCTTTGACAATGATTACTATTAACTGTAAAATATTCGCAAAATTTGGATAATTTACTAATTTTCTTGCAGGCGAAGATCAATTACTCCTGATCATCATGATCTATTAACTAGTCAAAAATGTTAGTATCGATAGATCATTTAGGCGCCAAAATTTTAATCTTGTTATTCCATTGTGATTGAAAACTTGGTGTTAATATAGTAATTGTACTTACTCGAAACGATGACTAATCACTCTTTTCTTCCATCTCGATATTGGATTAGCTCCGAAAATAGCTTATGAAGATCACGATAGGCAAGAGGTAAGTAAATATTTAAAAATAGTATCGACGTTAGGAAAGTTCAATATTGATTAAAATTTATTGTCCTTTATTGTCCTTACACTAGTATCAATGCTAAAGATCAACAATCTTGGTTTTCCACTCCGCCTACATTACATTCCTTAGCGTAACCAATAACGTAGTTTTAGGTGCTATAAAAGTTAATTAAGTCGGAATTATATCTTTCATTACTACATTCGCATTTCTTAAAATTAATTTTGATTAAATCAGTCATAGATGAATAGTAGAGTACAGTAGATTGTATTCAAATTATTCATGTTTTC